CTTTTCTACGAAAAGAAAGTTCTTGAACTTCGTGTTCGCGAACGTTTCTAAGAGACGTCTCCCTTCGCGTCTTGTCTTCGAGAGTCGACTCGTCTCGTCCTCGCGCTTCACTTAGGTAAGCGAGCTGATTCGCGTCCACGATTTCACACGACGGGATCTTTGTGCGTACCAAAGGGACGGCACGTGGCCAGAGACTCGCTTTGTACCGTCAGAAGTTGAAAGCTAAAATATCTGTGGAATTTCCTATTGTAACGTAGAGAATTTCGCGCCGAAAGAGTGCTACGCTCTGATATGCGACAGCATTTTTGGTGCCATTTTTGGAACAATGTCAAATATATTGTTCGCATTCTCTCGATTTGAAATTTCTTAAAATGTCTAATGTTCTTTCATAAAAGCTTATTTTTTATTAAAAAGGATAGCTTCAATTTATAGTCGGAAACCACGGATTCTTACATCATGAATATGTATATTGGTTTGAGTATATTATAAAGCATATTCGATTTCTTCTCTTTTAAATTTGGCGATCTGCGACATTCCTATTATTATTTATGTTTATTTATTCCAATTTTGTAATTTCAATTTGCAACGTTCCATCTATTATTTACATTTATTTATTTAATTTTATAACTTTGGCTTATCTATTTATTTCTTACTTTAATGGTTTTAACTTATTTTTCCGTCACTTCTTTTTTGAAACTCAGTTTAGTCGTGTCACTTTGATTAATTTTATTCTGACTGTCTTATAACTTTTTAATTTATTCATTTTTACATTGATCAATTTTAATATTAATGACGCGACGGATAGTTGTAGTTTTACTAGTGTTACGTATCTTTCACACTCTTGGATCTTTGGTGAGTTTTCTTTTTTTATTTGCTTGACTTCTTGATGCCAAATATGATACTTTATAAGTCCAGTTTTATCAACATAGGATTAACTTTAATCTAGATTCAATTTACTTTTTATCTTTTTCTAACTCTCAGAATTAGAAACCGAAGTAGAATCGAGATTAAAGTTAATTTTATGTTAGTGGGATCGAGCCTGAGTATCATTAACTAAGAAGTTAAATAAATAAAGACATAGTTAGCGTTTTAATTTAAATCATTAACCTGCTTCTCTTAATTAACGTTTGGGAATATTTCATTTGAAGAAAGATTGCTATGGTTTACTTGAGACTGGGAGATAATCAATTTTATGTTGTATTTCTACGCTGATGAAGTGGAAATTTGTAATTATAGTACCCATTGTACAGATTCAAGTTTTATCGAAGACACTTCATTTTAAATTGTTTGCGCCACTAACTATTTTGATTCTTATATCCCTATCTTTAATTTTTCGATTGTTATTTTGTCTTTTAATTATTATAATTTGGTCCACTTATTCTCTACCTAAATAGAGAGAACACGGTCGCATTAGAAACTTGTTCACCAGAAGTCGCAAAACAAAGACAAGAAATTAAATTAAGTAAAGAGCTTCTTGAGTAAGTGATAACCTATATAGCATCTATATAGCATAGATTGTGAAACTAACAAACTTTAAATCAAATGATTCATCAGCACGAGCCTAGCATAACTATCTTGAGTGAGTAAGATTCATGAAAAATAAATAACTCAGCAGTTTTTACCAGCCAATCGTTATCGGCCATTAGAAGAGAGCTTCGAAGCTTCCGGCGCCGTAGTTTCCGGACCATCGCGGAATATCAGGCGGTCGATCTTACCCTTAATTACAAGTCATTGTCCCGGGAAGCATCGCGGGAGTCCGAGTTCCAAGAAACTTGCTTGATCGTCTTGCAGCTGCGAGCACGCGTCGTTCGGTCGCAAGGCTACCCGACTGTACGAAGAGAGCTGCCTCTTGAGTTCCTCGAGCTTAATGGAACTTCTACTTGGATGCTACAACGCTACCTTCCTATCTTCCAATTGATTCCACTCACGCGCCACTTCGAGGCAGCTCGTACCGATAGTTCTAACTATCCGAGAAGGAAAGAATCGATCTCTGCCTACCGTTTATTCTTACCACCTTACGGTTTTATCGCGCGATTTCAATCAATTGGGAATTCGTGTGATTTTATTATCGAAGTCGGTCGGGGATGTCAGTATGCCCGAAGGGTCTATCGATCATGTAATTAAGTTACGAAGCAAGAACTGGAAATGGCAGTAAAGTAACCACATATTATGCTTGATCGTGCGAAACACCTAATTATCGAGGTTTTATGATTATAAAAAAAAATAGATGATAATTGACAGTAATAAAAAATAATAAAGCAAATAAAAGAGAAAGAATTTAACTTTTTGAAAACTGGAGCTTTCTCATAAAGTAATTTATGATAGATCGCTTTGTAAAGATTTTCAGGGTCGCTGAACGCGATTCCGATCTAAAAATTCTAAAATTCACATTTCAAAACAATAATTTGATTATCGTGAAACTCGGATTTAAGAGATTCTTGGTATGTTTGAATATAACCTGAAAATATCGAATTTCAAAAGGATAGTAATCTCTATGAAGAAGGATCTAGTGTTACAGGGTTCGTAATCAGAGTTTGGAAATTAGTATTAACTGTTTATATGTTGCACTGAGATTCAAATAAAGCAACTGGAAACTTGATATTATATATTTCCCAATTAAAAATTCTTTAAAACCAAGTTTTATAAACAAATTATTTTTTTTAATTCTATCCGTTTAATTCACATTGAATCGACCATTTTGAATTTTTTATTTTTAACCTCAGATTCAAATAAATATTCATTATCAAATTATCCCATATGTTAAGTTCCACAAAAATTGAGCAAGCAGTTTATAAAATAAAAGAGTCTTCTGCGTGATCCGCAAATGAGGTCACCAATCCACAAAGGAATAAAATCTATAATATAATCTACAAATTTTGTCAGTTATGCCCGAAGAGTCTATGGATCATATGATTAAGTTACGAAGCAAGAACTGGAAATAATAGTAAAGTAACTATATATCATGGTCGATCGCGTGAAAATATATCCAATTATCGAGATTTTACGATCATAAAAGAAAATAGATGATAATTAACAGTAATAAAAAATTATAAAATAAATAAAAAAGAAAGATACAGAGAAAGCATCTAGTATCAGTAATGTAATCTACAAATTTTTTATTTTTTAACTGAGAGATAAGCACGTTATATAAAAATTTTTAATTATGATATCTATTATTGATTCAGTATAGCTCAGATAATTGTAAATTTATCTTTTTGCATTAAAAACATGTGCATATATGTTCAATTTAATCAATAATGTACTCTTTATTCGATCTAATAGAAATAAAACTCGATTCTGTATAATGGATTTATTATTTTCTTCCTGTGTCTCTTTACTCGAAAATTTCGGTTGTCTGCAATTATCCATAGAGAGCAATCAGCGGTGCGTTTTAATCACGAAAAAGGATAAAAGGTTTCACATTGTGAGAATTATAGCTGAGCCGTTTTGGGAACTTCCAGGTTATTCCACTCACGTACCACTTCGTAGAACTTATAAAGACATTTATATCCACTCAAGAGGAAAAAAAGAAGAATTTGTTAAATGCTTTCTTTGTCTTTGCCGAAACTCAAGTTATACTCATTTAGTAATCTCGAAGCAGAGAATTTTTCGTCACTCTTCCAATTAGAAATGGATTCCTCTTGGGACAGAGAAAAATGATACATTTTCTTTTTAAGATAGATTTAGGGGGAATTACATTTAACTGGAGGAATTAGATTTAACAGGTTAATATCGCTTAAGCCTTTTGCGCTTTCTGTTATCAAAGCACGAAATGCTTGCGAGTGCATGTCGCGTGCGTTACACGATAGAGAGTTTCCGCTGCACGGACCACCGGGCGTTACCGTTGCGCCTAATGGAACTCGAGCTTGGCGTTAGTGCGACCTCATCGTATCCCTCCCAATCGATTTTACTCACGCGCCACACCAGAACAGATTGCACGCTTCCCTGTATCTAGGCGCAATGAAAAACGATCGCTGTTTTCGGTTCATCATCGCACCTGCGCTTTTATCGCAGGTCACGCGCATTCACGCCGCAACAACGTCCATAACTCTTAAACCCAAAGACGAACACGCTTTTGATATTTTCTTCATTTTGTTAGATAAGAATGGTCCATATTTGGAGAATACTGCGGAAAACGAAACGAACAAAACGGCGCGAAATTTTCACGGCTATAAAATGATTGATTCTTCACCGAATTTTTGTGATATAAATTTTAGAAACTTCTTAAGTATCTCTCTCTTCGATGGAAAATAAATGTTTTTACGCGGGAATATGCAAGAAAATAAGAAGATGTAATTTACAAAATATCTCGTGTATTATGTAAATGTATGCACGTATCAGAAAGAGCTTTCTCTATTCTATTCTGCTATTCGTTATATTCTGAGAAAGAAGTAGTTATACCAACAACTAGGAAATTGAGGAAAAATAGCATCTCAACTATGCATTGTAAAGTTGCTGTAAGAAAAATGAATAAGTGTACATACGAACTTAAGGAAACAGAATAATGTTAACCGTTTGCAATGTACATGTTAGATTGCAGTACAGGAAAATAGTAATGTATAAGATTGTTTTATTGAAAAAAATTATATTATTAATAAAAAATGTGTTATACCATGTCTCATCGCGGTATATTAATTTATTAAAAAAAATTTAAATAAAAAGATATTGTTACAACCCATTTTATGAGAAGTTTATATAATAACTTAATTATAAATAAAATATATATAAAATATATATATTACATATATATATAAATTAATTTAATTATTTCACACACACACACACACACACACACTTATTTAATAATTGCATGGTAATAAAATAATGTTAATATATAACATTACATTTGTTAGTGTATTTTTCAAAATTTGTTCTTATGATTTTATAAAACTAGTTGAAGATATTAAAACACATTTCCAAATATATAATAAAATAAAAACATAAAATATAAAATATAAAATAAAAATGCAAAATGTAAAATAAAAAATAATGTGACTCACAGATATGATGCACAGCAGCGGAGTTGTAATTGCATTGTAACTTCGTCGGTCTGTAACATACAAATATAAAATTCAAATTTTAACAATGACCAAAGAAATAAATACACGAATATCTCAAAAAATAATTATATATATATTGCGTGTTGAATATCATTCTTGTAAATGGATATTTAGCAATTACATAACTATGAAGTAAATATTTAATTATTTTAAAAATAATATTTAAATATATATATATATATTGTTACAAAATAATCACACATATTGTATTCATTGGATTTAATTTGTCTAAAAATCGATTTTTAACAAGCTAATTAACAAGATAATTTCTAAAAAAATTTAATTATTATAAAATTTATATTTAAATGTATAATTTACAAGTGTGGGTGTGTGTGGACCTAATGATTGACGCCATAATATTTGGCGCGATGTGCTTAATCATTTTATTCCAAATTTAAGAATTTTTCATTTAAAAGAGTAAAATATTCATTTTTCAATAATAAATATAATTGTCCTTATATCAATTCCATTTTATAATAGATTGAAGAGTATAATATGGTATCGGACTCGGAAATCTTTTCTATGTATATAGTAAAATTGGTATACATTGACAATGAAACATGATGAAATCACTATGATCTGGACTCTGGAGCAGCCTTTAAATAAATTATCTAAATAATCGAGAACAAATGAAAAATGTTATGAATAATAATAATAAACAATAATAAATAAGAATAATAGTAATAAATAAATAATAAATATTATATTCTTCTTACAAGGAGTTCCTTCGCCGTCGCCTGATGCCTCCCAAACTTTTTCTCCTTTCAGATTTAGATTTCTCCGCAGCTGTTTTCAGCCACTGCTCACGTAATATTCACGAAAATAGGGTTAATTACATCGGCGCATTAATCAGCGATTAATCACGTACTTTGCATGATACTCTCAACGTTAATCGTACACCTTATTATTTTTTGACACGAAAAGGATATTTACATTCATTAAACACAAAACTTTTGCGATTATATACTTACTGTATATTTCAAATTTAAACGCGTTACGGAATTCGAAATCGTATCGTGTGAACATTACATTACATTTAGTGCTTTCTAACAAGAAACAATGGTCCAGTTTCCATTGAAACATTAATTCACACTTAATGTAGCGTAAAACCAAATTTAAGTCAATGAAAATGCGTTTGATTGCGCTCATTTCACTTCCGCTTCGATCTACAAGGTCACCAATGGAAATGGCATTGTGTTAGTATTTCTATTGGAAACTGCACTGAAGTGAAACCAAATTGAGAGGACTTCGGTGGAAACTAGTCTAGTGTAACACAATGATCATTTCATCTTTGTTTAATATTCGCAAACAACAAGGATATAATGATTCACTGTGTGTCACAGTGTGTCATTTATGTCTTGCTGGAGAGTATCCATTATTAACCAAAAACTTCGAAAACGATGTTGCCAACTTGCTCTGACGCCACGCAATCGGTAAAGTGATATAACTAATAAAATCTAATTAATGGCCGGTATTAGTAATCCTTTTTTCATTACCGTCTTAAGTAATATCTTAAGACTCTAATACAGCTCTGTGATTGGCTTATAATATTTTAAGACTGTACTTAAGACATTTCTCAAATACATAGAAATTGATTATGAATGCATTTCGCTTCATGCATGAAGCGTATTATTTTATCCTTCTTTGAAATTTGGTGAATAATCAAAGATAAAGATCAATAATTCTTATTTCAAGATTATCTTAAGTAATATCTTAATATGTTCATACGGTTTTGTAATGGTTTGATAAAATTATAAAAAGTTAAATTCTTCTATACTGTATTTGAAAATAAAACGAAAATTTTTGGCGACATTTTAAAACTCGGATAAAAAATTATTTCAACAAGTAGATATGTTTTTAAAAAATAGTTAAAATAAATGAGAAAATGTTCACTTAAATTATAAAGTTGTATTGTTAATATATAAATATTGATCTTATTGAACTGTTTCATATGTATATTTACTTTTATTCGAAAAAATTAATTTTTTATTCACACACAGTCGCATTTTGCAAAAATTATACACAAGACACATTTTTAAGTGAAACTGCACAAATGAATATTTTAAGCAAACGAATTTCGCGAAATATATGTATCATTTGTGTTTTGATGTCAAGACTAAAGACTCTTCATTATTCAAGTCGCAAATCCGGGAATTGTACTTATCACTCTCAGCCTTTATTTTACGTCTTCAATTCAAAAGCACACGGCGAGAGAGAAAGCCGAGTTAGCGAGAGACGTTTCTTAGTAACACTAGAGATACCTCTCCAACAACGATACTATTACAGAGTAACGATACTGTTATAGACTTCATGTCGTACACGTACATACACGCGGTTACCAGCGATCTGTGATTATCCGTACAGAATGGATACAGTTCACTTGACGCTATACAAATGTTTCGAAGCATTCGATTGACTAATCGGAAGAAAGAATTTTATTAATTGAAAGTATAGACTGTACTATTCGCGTATTTAAATAGTATATCAAAAATGGGAGTTATGAGAGAAAGGGAGTGTGAAAACAATTATTTATTTCTCATTAATTCTCTCTTCCATTACATCGTTGAATAAAAAAAGATAAGACTGGCTGTCTTCGCGTCCTATCTCACTCATTTTTGTCAACCAGTTTGACATACGGATGGTGCAGTCCATATTCTATGATTATGTTTACACAGACATTTTTAATCGGGTTTAATAACATCCGTAGTTAGAAACTGGCTAATCACAGTCGTTCTATTCTTCAGAGGAATAGCTATGATTGACAGTTTCATATGTAACTACGGATGTCAATAAACTCGATTAAGAGTGTCTGTAAACGTAGTCGTTCTTTGCACGGATGAGATACTATTAAAGATCGATATTCTTACGGGAGTCGCGTCTCTGTCAAAGCTGTTTACTAAAACTTAAAAATTATATGATTAAGGATAAGAAATTGATAACATAGTATTAATTTTATGATTTATTAGTTTTGTAGATATGTGTGCAAAATTAAATAATACTTGATTTTTATTTAAAACTGTGATTTTAATGTCATTCGGGTTTGATTATTGATAGAAGTACTAATAATTGTAGAGAAAAAAATTGTACTTTTGTGATAATATATAAGATATTATAACATTACAAGTATGCATATTTATTTATTGAGCATTTATGTAATAAAAAATCATAAATTTAATAAAATATATTAGTTAAATATTTATGTTAATAATTACAAATTTATATCAATTGTCGATTGTTTATGAGAGCGTTTTTTAATTACCTTGGAGCTCTTTTTATGAGAATTTGGGAAAATTTATTTAAGGTTAATGATCTTTAACAATATCTCATTGGTGGTATTTGTAATTAATTAATCACAAATGCTTTGCAGCATTTGTAGCATCGAAATCAAGTGAATCGAAATCACTGCAAACGCGACACTTGTCTCGATAATCGATTACATTTCGAAAAATAGTAGACCAGAGCAAGCTCGATTTACATAAAGATCCGTCAATTTTAAGTCGCACTTAAGCCTGTTCTACAATAGTGTCGCAAACCGTAAGCCGCAAGAAATTAATCAAAGGTAAGAAATTGGTCAATCCAGAATATGAAAAAAATAATCGATTATGATTGGTTAATTTCTTATGACTTACAGTTTGCGATCCTATTGTAGAATAAGTTTAAGTAAATTCAGTTCTAATTAGCGGTATTTTTCTTTTAAAGAAATAAATTTTCCTATTGGATATCAGACGTCGTATGTTGGATGTCGTACGCTATGTGAATCATACATTACATTCCACCAGTCAGTTATGGCTATTTTTGTGGGCAAGTCTTAAGACTAGTATTCATAGTTTATTCTTTTAAAGACTATCTTAAATAATGTCTTAAGATGCTACAGCTCTGTGAATGGCTGCGTTTAGCAGAAAAAGCAGCTTTGTAATTGTATAGTAAAATTCTTTAATATGATTAATTTATGCCCTTATATATAGATACTTCCTCGGATCTAAATATGTAAACCAATCATATTAAAAATTTTTACAACATTTGCAAAGCTGCTGCAATTTTCTGCTGAACATAGCTATTTGTTTATGATATCTTAAGGCCGTGTTTAAGACGATTTTAAATGTAAGAATATCGACCTATAGTTTTTTAGCAGCTTTTATTTTGCAATTTTATATGAAGATTCCGTTATTATTATATGCCGTTGCGGAGCTTTTTTACCACATATTATATCTGCGCAATAGTGTTATCAAAGATCGATTTTTTTAGAAAATTGATTCTTTTATCTTCGATACTCGATTTTTTAGATCAATTCTTACGCTCTGATTAAGTCTACGAATCGATTCTCAAAATTTGAGATCGATGTTCCGTGTATAGCTGGTCACAGATAGATCGCAACACTTTTTTCGATGGGTTTCGAAATGTAACTTGCTCTCACCGAGCAATTGGTTTTACTTATTCAACCATTTGTGTTCAACTACTCTATGAGCAAGACTGAGTTTTGAAACACCTTCAGAAAAAAGTGTTGCAACCTTTCTATAACCAGCTGTATGCATTGGAATCGTTTTTTTTACGAAGAGGTCTATAATATGCAATTTACAATTAGCCTTGATCTTTTAATAGATCAATCTTTGCCGAATCCATTCTTTTTGACATTCAATCTTTTGATGAATCAATACTTGTAATTACGATTCAGGTTCAATCAATTAAAAAAATCGATTTCTTTGCCGAGATCCCTAGTTCATACTGGCTATTTTATTTTGTAGCGTTACAGAAAGACGTTATAAAGATCACCACACACTTTTTGTAACAGTAACTGTAAAGCCGGTATTCATAATCGGTTCTTATTTTTTTTTAATTCTGGCAACTATAAATTTGGCAACTTTTGCAATTGAAGTACCTGTTAGTTTTGTAAAGTAATAGAAATTGAAGTAATACTAAATATTTATAAAAATATAGCCTAGGTAACAAATTGTATGCATTATTAATTGGTAGTAAAATAATGACTCAACTA